TAATGAAATCTTGATTAAAACTATAAATGGAAAGGATATTTTAACGAAATATAATGCAAATAATGTTTTAGAAGAATCAGATCAAACAGCAATTGCAAGAATAGTTGTAGATCATTTTTCTTTCAACAGAATCAAAATGGATCCCAAAATAATTAAAAAAGTTGCTGATGCTATTGTGGAGATGTTTCCAACAGAAAATGTACTAACGTACTATGCACCACGATCCGGAAAAAGAAACCCATCAGGAAAAATATATGATCGATATTTCAATGCGATGTATAAACGCAAACGTAGTGCAGAATCTCCATCCACAAGTGCCGCTGCTAAAAATAAAAGTAATGTCGAGCCAATCGCTGATATACTACACAAATATGAAGAAAGCGAGTCGAAGAAAAATTGGCTTTCTCGCAATATTCCCCAAAATATTACGGTATCATGGAAAGAAACATCAGAATACAGAATGGGAGAAAGAATGGAATTTAAAAAAATGTTGGAGGACTGGCCGAGATATAAAGATCCAAATGGGCCAGAGCTTATTAACATTGATTTTGAAACTCTCTATCAAGGAAAAGGAAATATACTGTTCCAAAAAATGAATGATTTTGAAAAACAATTCAATGAATAATTTTTCGTGTCACAAGTAAAGGATAAACTAAATCTACAATATCTTAAAACTATGAAATCATCAGTATTACCATTGGGTATGTATTTATAGCTAACAACTATATCAATTTTTTAGATTTCATATTACGTTTTAGACTCTGATGATATATTTCTTTTTTTACTTTCAGATTCTAAACACTTTTATTTTTTCTATTTGCTTCATGCGGTTATATTACCGCCGCGTATCAACAAAACTATGAAACCATCCATATCAGATGCACAAAACGATATGATAATTCACTTGGTTAGTCTAAACAATTTTAAACAGAAAGAAGACGAACTACAAGAACTAGCCATTAAAGACGCGCTAAAGCTTCAGCCAAAAATATTTGTTGTTGGCGAATCTATATCTAATTTGACAGAATTCTACGTGTACTTAAATGGTATGTTATATAAAGTTAATTCTCTACTTAAAGCTGTAGATTTAGTTATAAAAATATGTTTTGTGTTTAACTTAGAGTATTCGGCTAAAAGCAAATACGTGTGGATTTTTTTGCAAGAATTTTTTTATGAGATACCTTTTACTGATAGTATACCTAAAATACAAAACATTTTAAGTAAATTTACAACCAAATAATGTCAACAACGAATCAATTTGATAAAAATCCACACATATCTGCTCATTTTGCGACAATATATTTAAAGAATCGAACGATTTACTTAAGCATTTAAAAGACGAACACAAAGCTCCTGTGGTTTATAAATACTTATGTCTATTCAATAAATGCAACAAAAGTTTTCAAAATTTTTTTAAATTTAAATCTCATGTAGTTAAACACGATGAAAAGTACAATTTTTCTGAAACTCTGTATTCTCCAAAAACAAAAATGTCTAAGTTAGAAAATAAAACAGAAGAAAACGATATAAACTCATGTCAAAATATACAACCACCGATTTCTTGCAACATAAAAGAAAACTTTGATACAGCAAGCATAAAAAAATCAATTGAAAAAATTGCAATAAGATTTATATTAAAACTTCATTCCAAACCCAACACTACTAGACGAAACATTTTTGATATTCAAAAGGACGTTCAAACAATGTTACATCCCATATTTGAAATTTTTTAACGCTTTTCTGAACATATTGACTCTGAACAAAAATCTCTATATAATGAATTGATATTGCTGGTAAGAAATCCCTTTGGTGATATTATGTCAGAGTATAAGCTTTTGAAAAAAGTAGAATCATTAAACCTTTTTAAGCTTCCTGAACTATTTACATTAAGCAGGCAACTGGATGAGACATTTGTCCAAGGAATTTCTACTTTAAAAGAAAATAATATAGAAGGTTGTTTATGCGATATAAAATTTCAACTGAAAACGTACTTTGAGTCGTCATATATTTTAAAGCTGACTTTAGAAAATATAAAGACCATTAACGCTTCTGGCCTATTAAATCATTTTATTTGTGGAGAGATGTGGAAAAAGAAAACCAAAAATGTTGGTCAAAAAATAGTTTTTCCAATTTTTATATATTTTGATGATTTTCAAATAAATGATTCACTTGGATCTCATAAATTTTCAGTTTGTGGTATATATTATTCAATTCCGGTTATACCACAGCACCAGCTATCTCATCTGAATAATATTTTTGTTGCTGGTATTATTAATTCAAAGGATATTAAGTGTTTCGGAAATACCGCTGCGTTTAATCGGTTAGTCGAAGTGTTAGCAGATCTTGAAACTACCGGAATTGATATCAATTTAAACAACGAGATAGTTCGAATTCACTTTTATCTTGGCCAAATACTGGGAGAAAATTTAGGATTAAATGAGGTGTTAGGATTTCGGACAGGTTTTAATGGTAAATGTTATTGCCGAATATGTACAGCAACAAAAACTGATTGTCAATTTAATTATGTGGAGATAAAAGAAAATATTAGAGACCGAAATAAGTATAATGCAGAATTAATAGATATTTCAAATGGAGAAATATCTGCTGTAAAATAAAATTCAATATGGAATAGTTTACAGAATTATCATATTACCGATAATAAGGCTTGTGACATTATGCATGATATTTTCCTCGGTGTAGCGAGGTATAATATTCCAAAAATTTTAAACTATTTTATATATGAAAAAAAATATTTTACTTTAGAAGCTTTTAATTATAGAAAGCAAATGTTTAACTATGGACCAATAAAAATTGGCAATATAAGTAATCCAATCACAAAGGCTCAAATCAAACAAAATAATATTAAAATGAAAGCAGCTGAAATAAAGCTTTTTCTATATGCAATATTGCTTATTATAGAGAATTTAGTGGATGAAAGGGATCCAGTTTTCATATTTTTAGTGAGTTTTGTTAAAATTGTTGACCTACTATTGCTAGATGAGTTTAATGACGATATTTTGGCAAATCTCACATATTTAATTTCAAAGCATAATGAGTTTTATGTGCAACATTTTAAAGAAAAGCTTAAACCGAAACATCATTTTATGTTACATTACGCTTCTATTATAAAACAATTAGGACCACTTAAATATATGTGGTGTTTTCGATTTGAAAGTAAACATCAAAGTTTCAAAAGATATGCTCATGTAAATAATTCGCGGTTAAACATACCGTATACCTTAGCTTTAAAACACAGTCTGCACTTTTCGATGAATGTTATTGAGAACAGTTTTTTTCAACCCGTTTTCTCAAAACTTGTAAACATTACAAATGTTGATTTAACCCAATTGTCTTACTACCCCAAACTTTGCACAAGTTTTATTAATGGCCTAGAAGTAGATAGTATGGTATATAAAGGAACTGTTTATAACAAATCAAGTTACGTAAAATGGAAAAGTGTCATCATAATAATCCTAAAAATATTTTATGAAACAACAGAAAACATTTATTTAATTGGGCAGGAAATAAAAACGACATTTTCCGAAAAATTTCAGTCTCATGTTATTTTAGATACTTGCGATGCATATTATATCAAAACCATTGAAAGCGTATCGCTTCCGACTAACAAATACGTATTGAATAGTATGGAAAAAGTATTAAGATTTTAATATTTTCTAGATTTATTTTGTGTTATGTATTAAAAAACTGAACTTTTGCTAATATTTGAAAAAAATGTAATAATTAATTTAGTTCTAGTATATATAAAAATATTATATACATATGTTAATAGAAAATATTTGTGTTCCTCTTTTTCTAAAAAAAATTTATAATAACTCTATAAAATAACAATAAAAAATTAAAAAAAAAATAAAAACGTTTTTTAGTGTGCTATTGGTCAACAGTGTTTTAATAAAACTCAACAACTTTATATTTGAAGTAACAACGTTACACTCTTGATACATCAAATACGTAACTCTTGTATCAACAGTATCGCAGTTATTTCAAATGTGCTTTCGTTGTTGCTTCAACGGTTTAACATTTCAAACAACAGTTTTTACTTTTGATTTTTAAAAACTTCCGTCTTCATTCCAAAGAGATAAATTCTTGAAACAATAACTTTAATCTTTGAAAAATCAAGAGTTTTCGCGCTTTTGGTTCAACAGCTCAAACTTGTTGGGTATGATTTAACCAACAAAAGTTGTTGAAATTAAATATAAAATTGTTGGAATTACAACTTTTTTTTCTGTGTGTACTTATTATTCCCACCTACAAACTTACTTGCATTATATTTATATCAACATGTAGGTATGTATGTAGCAGCCAGATCGACAAACGAAGTAGGCTTTGAAAAGACATCGAACTATATTACGGTGCATTTATTTTGCATAGAGAAATACATGAATATTTTGTACCACCTACAAACTTACTTGCATTATATTTATATCAACATGTAGGTATGTATGTAGCAGGCAGATAAACAAAAAAGTAGGCTTTGAAAAGACATCGAACTATATTACGGTGCATTTATTTTGCATAGAGAAATACATGAATATTTTGTATAGATAGGTATATAGAGCTTTGACTCTTAGCATTAAGAAAATTCAAATTAGGAGAATATATGACATTGGAGTGTAAACATCGCTGGAGCGTTTTCTTTGGCCCCATACGTTCAGTAGTGTCCGAAATTACCGCGGTGCAAAATTATTAGTTATTATAGTGTTTTTTTTAAATAATTATTGAAGTTTGTGTGAATTTGTGAAAAGAAGAAATATAGCGCGAAGCGAATTTCCGAGCAAAAAACGGTAAGTTTTGAACTGTTGAAGTGAATTACACGAATGCATGTGTTTCCTTATTTGAAAAAACATATGGTGTACCACTATTAATGTAGGCATTTTTTTAAATTTAATTTATACTTTTTTATTTGAAAGAAAAATGCCACGACCCACACGAGGAAATATAGGTCGGCGAACGCGTCATGTAAATGCTACGGCATTACAAAGGCGATCACAGACTCCAGATGAACGAGCACAAGCTAATGCATCGCAGCGTGAACGTAATGCACGAAATAGATCTGTTGTACCTGAAATTATGCGTGCTGCTTTTAATTACAACAGTCAGATTAATTACAGTATGTACGGATATATTGGAATAATGGACGCAATATGTCCACATTGTGATGCGGCTAAATTTCCAGGTGAAACGCCCGGCATGTGTTGTGCTAATGGCAAAGTGAGAGTGCCACCATTAGAAACTCCACCCGAACCATTGTCTTCATTAATTTTTGGGACTTCTGAAAATTCGAAGCACTTTTTGAGTCATATTCAACAATACAATTCGGCATTTCAAATGACTTCTTTTGGTGCTACTAACATTATTAGAGATAATTTTATGCCGACGTTTAAGGTAAATACTTAAACAGGATTGTCCCAATCAATCTGAATCATAAAAGTATTCTATAGTTTTAAAAATTATTATGCAACATATACCTAAAATTGCATACATGTTGCAGATTCAGGGCCAAATTTATCATCAAGCTGGTTCGTTATTGCCATACCCCGACGCTGATTATCAATTTTTGCAAATTTATTTTATTGGTGATGAAAATCGTGAATTGGATCAACGTTGTGCAATTGCTTTGAATACAAGACGAGAAATTATTTGTGAGCTACAAAGGTTTTTCCATCAGCATAAGGCATTAGTTCAATTGTTCAAAATTGCTCTCGATCGTATGCCATCTGATAATCACAAAATCGTAATAAGGGCTGATAGAACACCTTTTGGAGAGCATAAAAGGCGATTCAATGCACCGACAATTGATGAGGTTGCAATTGTAATTCGTGGTGATCAGTTTCAATCGCGTGATATTATACTTCATCGTAGAAATGAGCAATTGCAACGTGTATCGGAACTTCATCGTAGTTACGACGCATTACAATACCCAATATTGCATTGGAAAGGTGACGATGGCTACCATATCAATATACCAATGATTGATCCACGAACAGGTAAATAATATTTTCAGTGTGTTGACATTTCATCATTTGTAGAAATTTCTTAAGTCACATTTTCCACTTATTTTCAGGTCTACATGTACAGAAAAAAGTTAGTGCCATGAATTTTTATTCTTATCGATTGATGGTTCGTCCACAAGAACAAAATTATATCTTGAGATGTCGTAAACTATATCATCAGTACATCGTTGATATGTACGCCAAAATAGGAACAGAACGTCTTAATTTTATTCGTTTCAACCAAGCAAAATTAAGATCTGAACAATATATTCATTTGCAAGATGCGATAGCGAATGATGCTAATATTAATGACATCGGACGTTTAACTATATTGCCATCTTCGTATATTGGTAGCCCACGGAATATGAACGAATATGCACAAGACGCAATGTGTTATGTACGAAAATACGGTCGACCGGATCTGTTCATTACATTTACATGTAATCCGCAGTGGGATGACATCAAAAACAATTTATTTGCAGGACAGTCGACAACCGATCGTCATGATATTACTGCGCGTGTTTTTCGGCAAAAATGTAAAGCACTTATGGATTTAATTGTGAAATTATATGTATTTGGGGAGGTGCGTTGCCATATGTACTCCATCGAATGGCAGAAAAGGGGATCGCCGCACGCACATATACTAATTTGGCTGGTACATAAAATAACTCCGGATCAAATCGATAACCTTATATCAGCTGAAATTCCTAATCACACTGCTGATCCTGAGTTATTTCAAGTTGTCGTTAAAAACATGATACATGGACCGTGCGGTGAACTAAATGTGAATTCACCATGTATGATTGATGAAAAGTGTTCGAAACGATACCCAAGGCAATTTACTTCAGACACAATAACGGGCAATGACGGATATCCGTTGTATCGAAGTAGATCACCTAATGATAATGGCAAAACGGCAACCATTAGAATGCATAACCAGGAAGTTGAAGTTGATAATCGTTGGGTGGTTCCGTATTGTCCATTATTATCGAAAATATTCAACGCTCATATAAATGTGGAATATTGTAATTCTGTCAAATCCATTAAATATATTTGCAAGTATGTAAATAAAGGGAGCGATATGGCTATTTTCGGTGTTGCTGGTGATAATAGAAATGATGAAATTACTCAGTATCAAATGGGTCGCTATATTAGTAGCAATGAAGCTGTCTGGAGGATTATGTCGTTTCCAATGCACGAAAGACATCCTGCGGTTGTTCACTTGGCTGTACATCTTGAGAATGGCCAACGTGTTTATTTTAATGTAGCAAATTTATTGGAAAGAGCAGCGCAACCACCAGCAACTACGTTAACAGCTTTTTTCAAATTATGCGAAACTGATACATTTGCGATAACTTTGTTATATTCTGAAGTGCCTCAGTATTACACATGGAATGTGTCTTCGAAAAAATTTCAAAGACGTAAACAAGGAACAGCAGTTCATGGGCATCCTGGCATTTTCCAAACAGATGCAATTGGCAGAATATATACAGTACATCCAAACAATGTTGAGTGTTTTTATTTGAGATTGTTATTAGTTAACGTGAATGGCCCAAAATCATTTCAAGAATTGAGAACAGTCAACGGTCATTTGTGTGAAACATACCGTGAAGCATGCCAACTTTTGCATTTGTTGGAGGATGATGCACATTGGGATTCAACACTTCATGATGGATCTATTTCGGCTCATCCTCAACAAATACGAATGCTGTTTGCCGTTATATTATCAACATGTATGCCATCAAATCCACTTGAATTATGGAACAAATATAAACATAATATTGCAGAAGATATTTTAATTCGTATGCGTCATCATGCAAGAAATCCTGATTTGTTGATAACTTTGGAAATGTACAACGAAGCTTTGATAATAATTGAAGATATGTGTCTACGGATTGCAAATAAAACATTAGTACAATTGGGTATGACCGCACCAAATCGTGACATGCATGATCTGTTTGATCGTGAATTGCAACGTGAGCAGGAATTCAATTCTAATGATTTGCGTTTATTTGTACAATCGAATATAACCAAAATGAATATTCAGCAAAAACATGTATATGACACAATCATGCAAGTCATTTCCAATAATGCAGGTGGGTTATATTTCTTGGATGCACCTGGTGGTACAGGCAAAACGTTCGTTATATCACTGATTTTAGCCACTATTCGATCGGAACAGAAAATTGCATTGGCACTTGCATCTTCGGGAATTGCTGCTACATTATTAGAAGGTGGTCGGACAGCACACTCTGCATTAAAATTGCCATTGAATGTACAGGTGATTGAAACTCCAACTTGCAATATTTCAAGAAATTCTGCTATGGCAAAAGTTCTGCGATTAACGTCAATTATTTTATGGGATGAGTGTACATTGGCGAATAAAAACTTACTAGAAGCATTTAATCGAACAATGCAATATTTACGTGGTAACCAACAGCTTTTTGGTGGTGCTTTGATATTACTGTCAGGGGATTTTCGACAAACATTGCCTGTCATTCCTCGGTCAACTCCTGCTGATGAAATAAATGCCTGTTTGAAGTCATCAGTTCTTTGGAGATATGTACAAAAATTGACACTGAACATTAATATGCGTATTCACCTACAAAATGATCCAGCGGCCCATGAGTTTTCAAAACAATTGTTACAAATTGGTGATGGCAAAATACAAATCGACAGAACCAACGGATTGATCACTGTACCGAACAATTTTTGTTCAATTACGAAATCGATAGATGAATTGATTGAATGTGTTTTTCCAAATATTCTTCAGAATTACAGAAATGATTGGTTGAGAGAACGCGCCATTTTAGCACCGAAGAACATTCATATCAATGCCATTAATTTTCAAATTCAAGCAAAACTCCCAGGTGTAGTCACGACATATAAATCAATTGACAGTGCTATGAATTCATCTTGATTCATTATCCAACTGAATTTTTAAATTCATTAGAACCGGCTGGTATGCCACCGCATTGCTTAAATCTGAAAGTGGGTTCTTTGATTATATTATTGCGAAATATTAATCCACCAAAACTGTGTAATGGCACCAGATTGGCAGTGAAAAATTTATTGCCAAATTTGATTGAAGCTACGATCTTAACTGGTAAATCAAAAGGAGAAGTTTGTTTAATACCGCGTATCCCTATGATTCCAACTGATATGCCATTTGAATTCAAACGATTACAATATCCTGTGCGTTTATCATTTGCGATGTCCATCAACAAAGCTCAAGGGCAAACACTTAACGTTTGTGGTGTGAATTTGGAGGAATCATGTTTTTCACATGGCCAACTTTATGTTGCCTGTTCCAGAGTCGGTACCCCCAGCCGTTTGTTTATTCATGCTCAAAATGGAAAAACAAAAAATATTGTTTATCCAAATGTTTTGGATTAAGTTTTAAAATAGCTAGCAAATAATTAAATATATTTTTTTTTTTATAAATGAGTTTGATTTAATATTTCACTTTATACGTAGCGAAGCACGTACCGGGCCGCTAGTACATTTATATGAGCATTTGTAGAGCCACCCCTTTAAATTTCAACTCTTTATGCCTTTTGCTGGCCACCATCCATCAAAGAGTTCAAGGAAAGAGTTCATTGAGGCGCCATTATTGGCAGACAAGCAACAGTGTTTCCATTTGCGTAAATATGTGCTTATATATCTTTTACTAAGAGACAAAATACATATTTAGTATTACTGTCTTTTCTCTAATCCCCTACTCCATATGATAATATTCGTCTCCCATCCAAATATTTGCAGTCCAAAGCATTTTCTGGCACTCGAAATTATGCTTCATATCTTCCCAGGGGGGACTTACGGCAAACAACGGGCAGGTTGCCATGCAGTAAAAAAAACGCTCTGGCAAAATGGAGGAACATAAGATTTGGCCACTGGAAAATACTAGACATCTGTCCAACCATATTTACTTTATCACTCGGATTCCCGCTAGGAACGAATGGGAAGAAAGTACAGTCTTCTTACTCGCAAGAACTTTCACTCAAATTATGCTTCTGGAAACCAGATCATTCCAAGTGTGTTTCAAGCTGATTTGGCTAGCACATTAAATCTGGCCCAGACTTGGCAAGCACAAGTCTAGCGCCCTCAACTCAAGATAGTTTTTGGAATCATTGCTGGTAAATGCTTAATGGAAATACGCACAGCAAAAAGGGGCTTTCAACAAATGACTTCTGCCTAAGCTTCATAGACGAGAAGCATATCGAAAACGTCTTAAACTTTCTCTGTTACTTTCCGTAACTGGCGGAACTTATGAAACGTTGTGAAGACAATCGACAGTCTTGGGAATAGAGCCATTTCCACTTCCAACATCGTATAAAAAATATATAAAAAGTGAAACGTATGGCGTTAAAATGTTAAAATTTGTATTAAATTGTTGAAACTAATAAATTTTCCAAATGCTAATCACAGTTATAAGCGATCCATGTTCACAATTTCATCTGAGTTCAGCCGTTTCTGAACGAAGACAGGTCTCGCATGGTGTTGGTTTTTTATTTCATAAAATTTCAAATCACCCTCTACCGATAAAAAAAGTGCTAACCTCAAAAAATAAAACCATAAGGCACATCTATAGGCTAAGGTCTTTAATTTGACATCTCATTTTTTGATTTCTAAAAAACGGTGCAGATCTGATGGCTTTCACAAAAAAATTCTTTGCGTATTAAATGTATGGATATATACATAATTAGATAGATATGACTTTTCGAAAACGTGGCAACCCTAATCGTTCGTTTTACACTCATACTTTAATATTTCATATAACTTGTGTATAAGTTAACTAAATTCGAGTTTTCAAACAGGAAGTAATTTTCATCTAAAATCTTTAAAATTTCTTTCGTAGGACATATGATATATACTTATTTTAATTAACTGATAAATTAAGTTGAATTTAATGTTTCTAAACGTGGCAACCCTAAATATAGCTCAGAAGTAAAGCATTTTCAAACTCATTTAAATAAATACCCGTATTTTTGATAACTCATTTAACTTATTAAATGATTTGAATTTAAATTTGTGAACCGTTGGCATCCCACTTCGAACATCTCAAAAATATTCCTAACGTTCAATTAAAATAGTTCTCAAAACTTTTTAGTATAACACCCATATTTTAATATTTCATATATCTCGTGTAAAAATTAATTATGTTCGACCTTTCAAACAAGTGGCAACCCTCTTCAAAATATTTTCAAGCTACTACCTTCTTAAACCTCTTTCCTCTAATTTCCTTAGATCACGTTGAATTTAATGGTTTAAATAGGTGGCAACCTCCCTACTACATGTAGTTAAAAAACAAAACCTTTTCAAAACCATACCCATATGGTACTAATTGATTTATTTTTTTTTAATAATTTGAAGTAAATTTTTTAGTAGGTAGCACATAAGTGCCCTTTAATATTTTTAAAATAAAGCACGCGTAATGAAAACCGCTTTAAAAATAACTATAAATTCCTTAGACATTTTATTACAATCGCAATTTTTAATGTTGGTTTTGTAGAAGTTTATGTGTAACAATTCCAAAGAAAGTAGCAGCAAAATACATATTTTTGAACAGAAATAGCACACAGTACCATTCCATGATGCAGCTTTAATTGGGGATGGTCAAGTGGATCGAATTCTAGGCGTACCAAACGCGAAAAGGGTAGTTCCTCAAACAACCTTGGCTCGATTTATGCACTTTGTTCGACTCATAGACGTTTAGAAGACAAGCATAGATATGTATATACATACCAACTATTTACTAAGTATCTACAAATGCATGTCACTTGTAATACATAATCGTAATTGATGATATTCACTCATAGTGGCATTTCATTTACATTTGTCTTCTCATTCCACATTATTCATCAGCAACAACGCAACCCGCGACGGCTGTTACGCACACTCAATTCAATTAAATTTAAAATTGTATTTTTATTACTGCGTTGATTTGTCGCTAAATCTTGAAACATTTATGTATGCACTAATTTATATGTTAACTATACCTATTAATGATTTTTTTTACGCTGATTACAATGACTCAGCCCCTTAACCACGTACTACTTGGTGAGTCATCGACCGAGCTCAGCGGTTTTATTTCTATGTATTGCTTGTTGAATTTGATGCCTTACTTAGCACTTACTTTACATACATACTTGTAAGCACTTTAAATAACAATTCTTTTACACAATTAAGTCGTTAATTTATTGAATCACTGCAAATTTATGCATTTGCGCATGTTGATGTCCTTTCGAATTTGCCAAAGTGCAGAAAAGTAATAAAAATCGCAATCGCGACCAAAAAATAAATTGCAGAAACATACATACATACATACATGTGCGTATAAAACTAAAACTGTGCGTGGCTACTTCGAAAGACAGCAAAAAATAATAGAAATTTTTAAGAAGTGCATATAAGAAAAATGCATTTCTGGCATGCACACGCATCCATTTGTATGCCGGTACCACATTTATGCATACACATAGCTTGAAAGAAAGCAAAATTGTATGCGCTCCAAGTTTATACCAGTTTTTTTTCGTTAAAATTTAAATGAGCTTCACGCCTGCGCAGAAATGTATTCATATGTGGGAAAAGTGAATATTTACTTGAGTGCTTACAGTGTTCCATAAAACTGAAAGTAGAAGAAATATGTACATACAGTCAATCAATAAAGTTTAGGTACAGCGAGTTTTTTGCAATACGGGCAACTGTTTTTTAATTATTTCATTTTTTGCAATTTTTTTTATAAAAATATGGTTAATTCTACAGCATAAACACCAAAAATCAGAGCTCCAAACCTTGTACAAAATTAAAGAAAATTCTGCAGATTTTCATTAAAATATTGCACTTTTTAATTACATCCTTTCGAAAAAAGTTGAGTATGCAGGACTACCTAATGATTTTTGGCAAATTTTTTTGTTGAAGCTGAAGCTCATTTTCTCTATATAAAATAATTTTCGACTTTTTTTATATGGAGAAAATGAAAGACACCTTCAACAAAAAAAATTGTCAAAAATCATTGGTAAGTCCTATTTACCTTAGACTTGCACTTTATACTTTATATTAAAATTGAATGGGCTAAAAAACTGCATACTCAATGTTCTTCTAAATACTGTAATTAAAAAGTGCAATATTTTAGAGAAAATTTATAAAAAAATTGCGAAAAATAAAATAATTAGAAAACAGTTCCACGTACATATTGCAAAAAAATTGCCGTACCTAAACTTTATTGATTGACTGTAAGTACCTACAGCTGGTAAGCGAACATTTTTTCACCTGATTGTTTTA